GCACGGGCAGCGACAGGGGCATCGACCGACGCCGACAGGCCGCAGGCAGCCCAGGAGGGCACAGCGACGCCGCAGCGACACGACCGCCGACCGAACCGAGCCGAACCGACCGAGCGCAATCGACCGCGAAGCAGCCGAGCCGACCGAACCACTTGCGCCAGCAGCGGCAGGGAGGGGGCTCCAGCACCAACCGAAGAACTCTGCGCTGGCATCCGAAAGTGTCTGCAGAATCAGCCAGCATCGAATCGGGAAGTCGGAATCGAATCGGCATGTGCGTCGGATCGGGCCCCATCGGCACGGAGTCGAGATCGAATCGTATTGGCCGCGCCAGGGTGCACCACAGCGACATGCGAGCGTCGGGCCGCAGCGGATCGGATCGGGCCAAATTCGATATCGAATCGGATCGATCGCATCGACATGTGCCCTTGGTACGCAAGGCTTCGGATTGCGCGCGCAGCCCCCGAGGAGGTAGTCCCAGCTGGCCTCGACGGGCCCCGCCGAACAGTCCCAGTTGGCTTCAACAGGTCCCCCGAGTAGCCCGGGGCGGTCTAAACGCCCCAACAATCGGGCGCGGAGCGGCCAAATGGCGCCGCCGGATGCGGCGCCAGGGCGCCGAGAGACCGCCCTGGACCACACGGGGGGCTGGCTGAGGCAATCTCGGACTACTACTTGGGGGGTCTGCCGAGGCCACCGGGGGCTGCTCGGGAGGGGCCTCTGTTGAGGCCCGCTGGTGCGAGGCGGGGATTTATCCATATCCACCGCCTGGGAACCGACGTCCTGGTGCCCGAGCGGGCGGTGGATATGCATCTATTTCGGCCCCCGGGGGCCCGAATACGTCCCTATCCACCGCCTGCCCAGGCTCCGAAAACTTGACCCTCTAAGCGGTGGATATGGATAAATTCCCGCCTCGGAGCTGGGGCTGCCTCCCGGGGGCTGCCTGCGCGCAGCCCAGCGCCTTGCCGGTGGGCCTTGGGCTGGAGAGCAGCGGTCGCCCAGGCCGCGCGGGCCCCCCCGCCGCGAGGACGACACGGCCACGGCGGACAGGACGACGACGACGACGACGAGGAGGAGGAGGAGGAGGAGGAGGAGGAGGAGGAGGAGGACGAGGAGGAGGAGGAGGACTACACCGCCTGGCCAGCGCATACTCTGTGCCCTTGCGGGCCCGCGTTCTTTTTCCATCCCTTCACGCCTCTATGTCTGGCGCTACGCCAGCCAGGCACTATTAGGTTTTTCCTTGAGGCCACGCACTGTCATTTTTCCTGCCGCCACAAGCTCTCCTCTCGCGAAAGGTATGGCCAACGTCAAGAAAAGAGGAGGAGGAGGAGGAGGAGGAGGAGGAGGAGGAGGAGGAGGAGGAGGAGGAGGAGGAGGAGGAGAGGAGGAGGAGAAGTAGGAGGAGGAGGAGGAGGAGGAGGAGGAGGAGGAGGAGGAGGAGGAGGAGGACGACGGCGACGGTGGCCTTGGAGCAGCGCTCGCCCGGTGGCGCCACGGCCCTCTGCAGCGGCGGCCCCTCGTCCCCACCTTTGAGGCTTCTGTTTTCACTGCGGCCGTGGGCTTATGGCCCACTGGGAAGGCTACCACGTGGCAGCAGGACGGAGCTGATAAATCCTGCGTTCCGACGCAACGACATTGCCTCAAGGTTCGCTCGCTCTGTCAGCAGTGTCGTCTCGGTTGCAAAAACAGCGGTGCAAAGGAACCCCACTTGTGCATGAACAGGATCAAGGCTTTCATAAAGAGTTTGGATCGAGCTTTTGAGATGCCCTGATGCGCCTGATTGAGGGACCATGCTTAGCACTCTGGAAGGTCAGGGTATACGCAGATCGGCATGTCCAGAAGGTGAACGGATACAAATGGGGACGATGCCCAACAGCACAGGTTGCCCCAAAGAGACAGCGGTCGCTCCTGGGCACGTCATGCCTGTCCCAGACGGGCCAACGTCCGCGGCGGCACCGACACCGCTCCCTGCTCAAAAACGGGCAGGGGAACTGTTGCCAGCCTTCGTGCCCGTTCTCCCCACCGCCCTCTGGACCCTCCCGAAGAAACATGAAGAAACCACGGGAGGCTGACCTATGTTGGCAGGGAGGAAGCGGGTCCTGAGGGAAACGGGTCCTGGACCCCAGGGTAAAGAGACAACTCCTAAGAGGTCTTCGTCGGAAACATTAAAATACATTAAACCCCATTGAGGGGCTGCTACGCCAGATTCGGCCGCAAATTGAACAGGATTGCACGGGATTTAGCCAAATGAAGCTGGGTAAAGCCGGAATTCGGACCAGGGCAAAATAAGAGTTTGACCTCCCTGGAGTTGCATCCTAGCCAAGGCGGCATTCCCCCGTGGCCCGTCGTGGTCCCGTCATCCCTGCTCTGGCTCTGCGCGGCTGGTCACTCGCCCGGCAGAGAACTACAGCCCCGAGATTCGACCTCGCGAACAAAATGCAGCCTCGCAAGAAACCGCGACCGGACGCCTGACTCCAACCTGTCTGAGGGATTTCTGGGCGCGAATGACTTCGGGGGCGACGCACGGGGGCGGGGGGGAGAAGGGTGCGCTGTTCGGGCCCAAATGGGGCCCCATTCAGGGTCCCTCAGGGGCCCCTTTCCTGAAGCCCTCGCTGCCCCCGACTTTATCGCCACCCCATTCATCGCGGGCCCAACTTTTGCGAGCCGGCCCGGTCCGTGAGGGCCCCCCGGGGCCCGAGACACGGCAAGAGCGCTCGCCTTGAAAACGCTGTGGCGGCACGATCTCAGGGACAGGCCAGCCGCCCGCGTCCCGTCGGCGGTGGCCGTCGGAGGTGTGCAGCGCGAAGCGGGGATTTTTTTTCCTCCGCCTCCGCCGCCTGGGGGCCCCAGCTCGCCATCATGGCTCGGACGTTCCTTCTTCCGTCATTGGTCGGCTTGGTCTTTTAGCGCAAGAGGGCCCAACTGCGCCTCGATGGTCCCTGCCAGGGCAAACAATGCACACGTCCGAGCGATGCCAGGCCAGGGGGCGGTGGACATGGACATAGTTATTGAAAGGGGCCCAGGGGCACACAAATGCATACACGCAAATCCCAATATTCACCATGTTTGTTCCCATGTCCCATATCAGCCCATATCTTCTGGGTTTCTGTCTTCCCCCCCACTGCCCTTATCAATTTTTCCTGGGGGTCGACGATTCGACGATTCATTGCGTCTGTCTGTGTGTGTTTTCCCTCCTCCTGGAAAGTGATCCTGGAGGGGGGGGCGGCACACCACCAGGAGAACCCTCCTCCTGGCGCCTTGCGCCATGCGCTGGTAGTGGCGTTGACTTTCCTTGTCCCTGCCCCAGAGGAGCCGAGGGCCTTCGCTTCCCCTCCCAGGATGCCGGGGGCAGAGGGTGAGTTGCACACTGTCGGGAACGAGCAGTGACATAAACGTAAAAACTCGGATCGGCGCCTCTGGCGCCGCCCCTGGCGGGCTCTGAGCGCCAGGGAGGGAGGTCCAGCGCGGATCCGAGAAATCCGCGCGGACCTTCGAGTTTTCATGTTTATGCCATTTCTCGTTCCCCTAACACTGTTTCAAGGGGGCAACTGCTGCCGTGAGCTTGCCCAGCCTGGCCCAGAAGACCGGCCGGCCCCGATGATCCTTGCGCCGTACGATTAAGTCGGGCCTGTCCTCCTACAGGGTGATTTTGGAAGAAAAATTAGCCTGGCGCAAGACCCAACCATATGCAGTTGTGAGTACCGCAATTGTGAATATCTTCTTCGGTGGCGTGACCTATGGGGCCACAAAGCGCTGTAATGGGTGGGTGAAACGCAGGGAGCAAGGGCTGTGTTGGGTGGTGGTGGACGCATCCAGGCGGTGCCACTGGGACCTTCCGTGGAGCTCCCTATGGGGCCACGAAACGCTGTACTGGGTGGGCGAAACGCAGGGAGCAAGGGCTGTGCTGGGTGGTGGCGGACGCATGCGGGCGGTGCCACTGGGACCTTCGGTGGAGCTCCCTATGGGGCCACGAAACGCTGTACTGGGTGGGCGAAACGCAGGGAGCAAGGGCTGTGCTGGGTGGTGGCGGACGCATGCGGGCGGTGCCACTGGGACCTTCCGTGGAGCTCCCTATGGGGCCACGAAACGGGCCACGCGCAAGGCTGTGCTGGGTGGTGGCGGACGCATGTGGGCGGCTGGGCTTCGGTGGAGTGGGGCCACGAAGCGCTGTGCGCATGGAGGAAGGAGGAGGGAGGGGAGGAGGGGGAGGAGGGGAAGGAGGAGGAGAGGAGAAGAGAGACGCGGGGCACCGTCTCTTCAAAACGAGGACCCAACACCACAGGATGGTTGGGAGTAAAAAATAATAAAAAATGCACCCGAATGGTCGAACAATCCTCAAAAAGTTGTCCCCTGACATTTTTTGCTATGTTTGAACATTCTTCCTGTAGGGTTATGTTGTTCCCATCCTTCTTAAGGACCGCATCCCAAACGTAATTTCGAGCACCCGGGAAAGTGTCAAAAGAGTGTCGGAACAGTGTCAGAAAACAGTGTCGGGCGAGTGTCTCCCAGGGCCCGACAGGTGAAAACCCCTGAGTTTCGCTACTTGTTTGGAGCGCTCGAAAGTCTTCCTGGGGATCCAGGCTACGAGCAGGTTGGAACATCATAACTGCATGTAGAAGGACAGGCCCGACTTCACCGTACGACAGGGTGCCCCTCTGGCAGCCGACCCCCCAGATCGGCGGCGAGCCTATGTGGGGGGAAGCGAAGGGGAAGGCCTTCTCGGAAGGCTCGGATTAAGTCGGGCGTGTCCTCCACAAAGGGGGGTCTTCTACGAAAAATAGGAAATACGCTAAAAATACCCCCAAATGGTCAAAAGAAAAGATACTTGAAACAAATAGTCCCCAGACTATGTTTGAACAAGTTTTGAGCATTCCTCCTGTAGAGGGACAGGCCCGACCTCAGGCTCGGAAGTCCCCGGGCCTGCCGAGAAGCCTTCTCTGAGCCTTCCCGCGGGCGGGGACAGAAGCGAAACGCCTCTCACCAGAGGCGCGAGGGCATCGGAGGAGTCCCGCCGCCCTCGGGGAAGGCCTCACCCTCCTCGCTTTCCCCCCCCCCCCTCGCCGCCGCTCTTAATAAAAGTATCCCGGCGAAGGGCCCCACCGTGTGCAACTGTGAACCTATACCGCCGTCGTGAGAGCTGCTTCGCGCGCTCGCTCGCCTCTCTTGCCGGGGCAGGCCCCGGCCGAGCCGGTGCTCTGTGGCCCCCCCCGCGCGGAGAGCAGGAGCGCAGCGGAGAACGCGTCGGCCCTGGGCTGCAGCTCTCGCGCCTGGACGCGCCAGCGCTGGAGGAACCGAACAGAGCCCGTGCTCGAGCAGAAAACCTCGAGGTGGGGACTTTTTTTGATAAACAACTCGAGGCGAGGACTTGCGCATAACAGATCGAGGTAGGGACTTTTGGATTAGCATGTCGAGGTGGGGACCTGAGTAGAACAAATCGAGGTGGGGACTTCGATCAGCCAAGACATGTCGAATAAGAAAAAACGGCATAAACATAAATCTTCGGACCTCCACGCGGATCCCTTAGATCGGCTTTTGACCCCTCTCGCTGGCGCACGGAGCGCGCAAGGGGCGGCGACCGAGGAGCCGCTGGGGGGACCCAAGCGCCGAGCCACAAAATCCGCCGCGCGGGGTTCCGAAAATTGATGTTTATGAGATTGGTTGTTATTCGAAATGTACAGATGTATAGAAAGGTCCCAGCTTCGATTTGTTCCGAAACACGGGCCCTTGACTTCTCGACCACTTCCCCGGCACCGGTTGTTCATCCCGGGTCGTTCTCTTACCGTCCCGGGGTGTCCGGTGAGGGCCCCGAGGGGCTGAAAAGAAAGAACAACCTGCGTCTCGACCTTTCCGAGGCGCCGGATGCTTGGGAAGGTTCGGGCCCGGCGAAAGGGGGGATAGCAAAGGGGGGAGGGGAGAATCAGCTCGCGTAGCTGATTTTCCCGGCGCCTCCCGGTATCGAGGAATGGGCCCGGCGGCGGGGCCGAAACCAGCTGCATGCAGCAGACTTCGTACCCCCCCCTTTCCCTATCCCCCCCCTTTCGTTCAGCCCGAGAGGTCCTGTCCTGGATTGTCCAGCGTCCCCGTTCCGGGGGCCCTGAGCTCCAAGCCCAGCGACCTCCGCCGGGCGCGCCCGCGAGGAGCGCCGCGGCGTCGGGCGCCGCCCGCGCGACCTCGCCGGACGGATGCACCTCTGGGCGAAGCGCGCGCCGCGGCGCGGAGGGCCCCTCGGAGAGCCCTCGGCGAGGGCCCTCGCGGTGGCTTCCAGAGGAGGGGTGCGCTGGGCTGACAGAATGCTGGGAAGTAGCACTCTCGACCTATGTATGGACCTCATCGGGCTGCTAGAAGCCTCGATTGGAATTTGGACGTTGTTTAGGTCCAGGTGCTATTTTTTAGCCCTCCTGGAAGGCTAGGGGGGAAAGGGGGCGCAGGCGGCCAAGGCCAGGGACGAAAGCAGGCCCGTCCAGGGGCTGAAGAGTGAGGCCCGCGGCTCCTCGGCAGCACCGTCCACAGAAGTTCGGCCGAGCAAACCTCAGCAGAAAGGGGCGCCACAACACAGGCACACACACACACACCCACACACCCACCCACACCCACACCCAACACCCACACCCACACCCACACCCACACCCACACGCAGACGCAGACGCAGACGCAGACGCAGACGCAGACGCAGACGCAGACACAGACACAGACACAGACACAGACATCGACACAAACACAGGCACAGGCACAGACACAGGCACAGACACACACAGACTCACAGAGACACACAGAGACACACAGAGACACACAGAGACACACAGAGACACACAGAGACACACAGAGACACAGAGACACAGAGACACAGAGACACAGAGACACAGAGACACACAGACACACAGACACACACACACACACACACACACACGCACACACACACACAGACACACACACACACACGCACACGCGCGCACACGCGCACACGCGCACACGCGCACACGCGCACACGCGCACACGCGCATACGTGCACACGCGCACACGCGCACACGCGCACACGCACACACGCCCCCCACCCCCCCAAACCCAAACACACATGCACACACGCACACACGCTCGCACGTATGCACGCCCGCACGCCCGCACGCCCGCACGCCCGCACGCACGCCCACGCCCACGCCCACGCCCACGCCCACACCCACACCCACACCACACCCCACACCCACACCCACAGACCCACACCCACACCACACCCCACACCCACACCCACACCCACAAACCCACACCCACACCCACAATCCCCACCCCCCACCCCCATCCCCCACCCCCACCCCCACCCCCCCACCCCACCCCCACCCCCACCCCCACCTCCCCCCCACCCCCACCCCACACCCCCACCCCACCCCACCCCCACCCCCACCCCACCCCCACCCCCACCCCCACCCCCACCCCCAGCCCCGCGACCCCCACCCCCACCCCACCCCACCCCCACCCACACCCACACCCACACCCCCCCCACATGACCCACAC